TTTGAACCGTGTTGATGTGTTTAAAAAAAATATGCACTTGATGCTATCACTGGTACCTCACAGATTGGAAAGTGTTTGTGGTTGCCCTGAGCGAATGTCACTCTGCACCAACCTTACGGTTGATTTAAGCTTACCTCCCTAGCCACCAATGGCTGATGATGACATTTTTATAAGCGAGCCCCAAAGAAGAAAGATATCGTCAACTTCTTTCTGCTTCAGACTCTGGAAAGGATGTTGCGTCACGATTGGAGCTGCATCAACATATGATTTTTCAGGCTCCTTCATTACTCTATTCTGATAACAGGCTGGTGTTCCATGATGGGCACAGATTCAAAATTGCACAGGGATTATCGAACTGATAACATACTCTAAGCATATAAACAGAACTACAAGGACAACTAATTGCTTCGTTTGTTCACTTAGGCCTTGACAACATCGAACCCCTTCATAGTATCCAAAGCCTCCCGAATCTCAACCTTGTAAGCCGGAATACCTCCCGAGTAACAAACAGGCTCTACCACCTTGTCAGGAATAGATCCACCCATGTAAGTGCTCCTGGTGGTAGGGAACAAGCTCCTGTTGTTCAGCTCAACCACGTGCTCCTTCCACTTATCGGCGGCGTCCTTGGTCGGGTTGATGTACTTGATGCCGTTGCTCTCCATCTTGGCGATGCAATCGGCGATCCAGCGGCCTTGGACTTCGACGGTCGAGGGGCCGTTGGAGAGGAGGGTTGGGCCGTGGACGCCGTAGATGTGGAACATGTTGGGATAGCCGCTGGTTGTCACGCCGAGGTACGTCTTGGCGCCCTTTACCCATTCTTCTTGGAGTTTGGTTCCGTGGGTGCTCTTGAGGCCGAGTTGGGTCATGACTGTGAAAAGTTAGCTTGGTTCGAGTGATGATTTGCATTTCATGTGACAAACCTCCAGTGACGACATCCTGTATCTTGTTAGCAGTTGTTCAATACGTCTAGGTTATGGGGACTTACAAATCCTGTGGCAACAGCAATCACATCAAACTCATGGTGAGTACCATCGGCAAGAGTAATACCAGTCTCGGTAAACTCCTTGATGGCGTTGTTCTTAATATCCACAACATCCACATTGGGTCGGTTAAACTGCTCGTAGTAGTTGTACTCGAGACAAGGACGCTTGATACCGAAGTAGTGAGGCATCTCGACAGGAGCCAGGAGATCCCTCTTTCGGGGGTCACCGATGCGGGCGCGCGTCTTCTTGAGCCAGAAGTTGTACGACTCCTTGTTGGCTTCTGCGTTGAAGAGGTTGTCCTTGTACAGGGCGACCCAATAGCGGAAGCCACCATCAGCCCAGACTTTCTCGTAGAAGGCGTCTCGTTCCTCGGGGGTATCGTCGAATGTGTTCTTCTCGTACCAGTCGTAGTGGAACCCAGCAAAGCTGGTCTCGCGGAACTTGAAAAGCTCGGGGTACCACTTCTTCTCACGCTCTTGCTCTTCGACGTTGAGCTTCCTTCGACGCATGGGCACAGCCAGGTTGGGAGTTCGCTGGAAGACCTTGACTTCGCCGGCGACAGGACCCCAGGCTTGGGTTATCTGCACGCCAGAGGCTCCGGTGCCGATGATGGCGCAGCGCTTGTTCTTGACGTCGACTTCATAGTCGGGCCAGAAGGACGAGTGATGAATGATGCCCTTGAACTTTTCCATGCCGGGCCAATCTGGGACGTAACGCTTGGCAGCAAAGCCGGTTCCGAGGATGAGGTACTTTGCCTTTGCGGTGCGGCCATCTTCAGTCTTGACGCTCCAGCGACCAGTGTTTGTGTCAAACTCTGCGCCGACGACGACAGTGTTGAAAGAGCAATCCTTCTTGATGTCGAGGACCTTGTCACAATGATCAAAGTATGCGCGGAGTTCGTCATAGGTGGGATAATTGCTCGACCAGTTCCAAGTCTTCCAAGTCTCTGGAAAACTGAACTGGTACTCTGGAACCTCGGAATCCACACCTGCTCCGGGGTAGCAGTTCCAGCGCCTTGACGATCTTGTTAGTGGAGATGTACTCGGATATGAGGGGCGAAGCATGCAGGTGGGGGATCACAAGGCCACTCGGCCCCATAGGACGTGTATGCAAGGAGCCTATTTCTGCTTGACCGGCGTGGGTACTTACCAAGTGCCTCCGAGGTCGTTGCCGGCCTCAAAGATGACGGCCTTGTGTCCACGGTCGCGAAGAGTCTTGAGCATGAAGATGCCGGCTGTTGATGTCAGTATTTGCATGATCCATGGTGCAATCGAGAAGAGAATGGAACCCATTGAAACAGTGTAATAATGGAAAGTCACTTACCAAAGCCAGCTCCTACAATGAGTGCATCAACTTCGATATCCTTGCCATGCTGGGTAGTCGAGTAGGCAGTCAACTTGGTGTTGAACTCGTTGGATCGGATAGGAACGTTTTCGCCCATTTTGAAGACTGTGCTATGAAGAGGAGTTTAAAAAAAGGAGTAGAAGGATGCTGAAAGTTTGTATTGGAATGTTGGAATGAGATGAGAGTGGTGATACAACTTTCAAACAGGATCAAGACGTCCTATTTAACAGTTTCTGATCTATGACTCGCAACGCTGCATCAAACACTCAAAAGAAACCTTGTCCTCCTGTACGAACAAGATTGCGGAAGGTCCTGCAACAGATCGGGCTCCCGTCCGCCGCAACTTGGTCACATTCATGAGGATGCATTGCGTCTTGCTGCGTCTTGCTGCAACGCAGTGCAACACTACAGCTCCAGATTCAGCCCGTATCATCCCCCCTCCCCACGTTCTCCCCGGTTTCCTTGGCGTGGGGAAAGCTCATCTGCCGAGCTAGGATCGTCATCCACCCCGGGAGCGGCGCCGCGTCCTGAATAGCTACCCCTCAGTTTAGGTAGGTGGTGAAACCGCATTTCAGCTGCGGAAGCGGGTCCGCTTGCCGGGGCAAGGGGATCGTCGTGTGCGTTGGGCTAGAACTGAGACACGTGTGTGTCCGAGCACATGACAAGGTTGGGAGAGTTTGTGAGGGGGAGAGAATAAATAGGCGAGTAGAGACTGAGGTGCATATGTTATTGTGGCAAGTATTCACTAGTATTCGTATCTATTCGTATCCTCTTTTTTACTCAGACACATATCAATTCATCCAATATGCCCCTCGATTCAAACGTCGTCACCAAACTACGAGGCATCGTGGACGGGGCCTGCGCAGATACAACTGCAGGTATCCCCGGCACGTCTGTCGTCGTGGTTGGCAAAAGCGGCGAGGAGCTGTTTGCCCACGCTGCTGGAAAAAGAGGAGTCAACTCCCAGGAGCCCATGACGCTTGACAATGTGTTTTGGATTGCCTCCTGCACAAAGATGCTGGCTGGCGTTGCCGTCATGCAGCTGGTCGAGCAGGGGTTGCTCAAGCTTGACGATGGGGAGCAGACGGAGAAGATTGTGCCTGAGCTCAAGGAGCTCAAGGTTTTGAACAAGGATGGCAAGTTGGAGGACAAGAAGAGGGCCATCACTCTTCGCATGTTGCTGACGCACACTTCTGGATGTGCGTATACCTTCTTCAATGAGAGGTTGAGGGATTGGACTCTTCCTGCCGGGTATGATGAGTTTTCGGGTCGTCTTGAAGACATCAAGATGCCTCTGGTGTTCCAACCTGGAGAAGGCTGGGAATATGGTGTAAGTGGCCCTTGCATGAACCGATCTCACTGCATAAAATACTGATAGCCACAGGTGGGCATCGACTGGGCGGGCTTGGCTCTTGAGCGAGTCAGTGGGCTGTCGCTCAACGACTATCTTCAGAAGCACGTGTTTCAACCCCTGGGCATCAAGAACATGTCTATGCTCCCCGGCAAGGATATGCGATCTAGACTGGCCTACATGCACGCAAGGGATCCGGATGGAAAGCTTCGGCCAAGAGATCATCTCTTGAGGCTGCCACTGGTTGTGGACCCTGACAACAAGTCTGAAACGGCGGCCTTGTTTAACAGCGGAGGAGCAGGCATGTTTGCGCAGCCACAGGAGTACTGCAGTGAGTTTTTCCCCTGGTGATCACTGATAAGAGACTCGGGTTATTGACCTTTTGTCGCAGAGGTTCTGGCGGTGCTCCTCAACGATGGAACATGCCCTCGAACAGGGGCCAAGATCCTTCGAAAGGAGACGGTGGATGAAATGTTTCGCAACCAGATTGAAAAGTTCCCCAACGCATCTCGGCAGTTCATCCCGGCGGCAAAGCCGGATCTCACCAACCCGATCCCCGAGCTGTACCCCGTGTCGGGAAACCCTCCGCAGGGCTGGGGTTTGACTTTCATGATGTCCAACGGGGGAGGTACAGGGAGATCAAAGGGAACTGTGCACTGGGCTGGACTGGCGAATCTCTGGTGGTGGTGCGATAGGGAGAATGGCGTCGCGGGAATGGTTTGCACACAGATTCTGCCTTTTGCGGATGCCAAGGTTCTTGGGCTCTGGGCCGAGGTTGAGGCTGAGATTTACAAGGCGATCAAGTAGATACACCCTCTAGAGGTGATCAAGACGTGTGAATGAATGAAATGTGCTTGACTAGTAACCTCGCTTAAACGTTTGGATGAATTTGAAGCTTGCCTTTCCAGTTCGAGACAAGATCCAAGACATGTCAGGCTCGAGGACACGTGGATGAATTCGGGAGTGTCGGAGAACAGGGGCCCGTCAGAACCCTTGCCTTGAATATCCAATGAGTGCGTCTCCTCGTCCAAAGAAAGTTTCGACGGCTCTCCTCCTTTACAATGCATCCTTCCAAAAGAACAACATCCGCCCTCCCTCTGACGTATCATGCATCCATCACGCAGAGTAAAAACGCGGGGAAGATGCCATCGCGGTGGAGTCGACCCCCGGAGAAGCGGAGCTTGCTTCTCCACAAAAAAATATAAGGGGGCACTTCTCGGTTTCGGGTTTTTCCCCCCGCCCTCAACTCGCAGATTGTCCCCAGCTTTTTTCGGCCTTCTTCCGCAATCTTGTTCCTGCTTGGAAAAATGCTGAGAAAAGAGAGATAATATCATATCGCGTGCTTTTATTGGCTGATGCCCCCTTCTCTTCCTTGTCTTGTCCTCTATCCATCGACATATATATCCTGTCGCGAGTCGTCGCGCTCACGTAACGCGTCATGAAGCGTCAGACAAAGCTCGCATGCGACCAGTGCAGGAGGTCTAAAAGGGCCTGCGACGCCCCTCCTCTTGAGCTCCCGGATCACGACAGCTTCTCTAACGGGACCATCGTCCTGGGCAAGAGGCCTGGTGGGTTCCCCCGACCTCCCCCGGTGCTCCCGTGGTCTGTTACTAAATCCCTCAGCCTCGGAGACTGAGCTTCAGCCTTGCTCGTACTGTACAAAGACCAAGAAGCAATGCACCATGAACTGGGCCTGGTCCCAGGTCCAGATCACCGCCGCCCTGGCTGCCGCCGCCCGTGAGGACTCGAGCTTGGAGTGCATCATACCGGGGAAGCGGAGGCAGAGCAGCAGCAAGGATGTCGAGGTTCACCCTGCGATAACAGATACTGCCAGCTTCAGCATTCCCGCTTGTCAACCGGGGCCGTCTCAGGGCCCACCGCAGGGTCTGTTCAGTCAGGAACTGCCGAACCTCGATCTATCGTTCCCCGAAGGGTCTCTCGGTGCCCTGCCGTTTGGTTCCGTGCCGCCAGAGAGTAACGTCCCTGGTCATGACTTTAACATGTCGGCATTTGAGGAAGCCACGTCGTCGTCGTCGGATTACCTGGCTGACAACTTGAGTCATCATTTATCCGTTGGGCCGGAGAGCATCTGTTCGCAAGCGCCACCTGAAGTCCAATTCGACGATTCCCTCTCAGCCTCGCACCAAATTGAACCGATTCCTCCTCCCAGTCGCTCTTCTCGCTCCGGATCAAGTCGACCTGGAAGTGACAAGAGTCGGCAAAGGCAAAAACGCCGTCGCACATCACGGAGCTGGTCAACCCACCAGACCGCCTCTCTATCCCCCTTCTCTATAGACCAGTCAATGATGGCGCGGTCCAACACTCAGTTCATCTCTACCAACCTGTTGAAGATCTATCACGACGTGTTGGAGCACAACCTTAGCTGCTGGCTGACAGAAGTGACGTGTCCATATAGACCCGGCTCCAACACGAGCCCTCATTCTGAATGGGGTGCTTCATGGACGAATCGCATCTACATCCGAACACAGAGACTTGACCGAGTGGCCCAGTCTGCTAAGCTGATACAGTTGACCCGATCCGAGGACCAAGCGGCCACGAGGGCCCTCCACCTTGCCATCATGGCCTTTGCGACCCAGTGGGCTCAAGGTAGTCGTCGTCAACGAGAGCGCTATCATCCCTTTGGCGATCCATTCGAGGATGGCGGACCAGAAGACTTTCTCGACGAGATCTCGGAAGAGTTTGATCGGAATATCCAGAAGCACTTTTGGGAGCAGGCACAAAAGGCTCTGCAGGATGTCGCTGACGTCGAGTCATACCGAGTAGCCTGTGCTGAACTGGTCTTTGGTCTGACGCAGAAACCATGGGGTCGCGATGACGATTCGACCTCTGCGACTGATGGGTTCGACTTTTTGCTTGGTCAAGAGAGGAGGTTCGATGCGGACTCGATGATGGCTGAGCTGGGCGACATCATTTCCCGAGATGGTGCACCGGTCATGATGGAACGAGCAGCTCGAAAGATGCATGCGTTAAAGTTCCAGTTTGACTCTACGAGGAGAGGCCTGGATGGGTTCCGTCGTGGGAAGCAAGCTAGTGACTCTCTTTCTGTCATGAGCCCAGAAGATCGAGGGACTGTTGGCCTGTTGTTTTGGTTAAGTATAATGTTTGACACGGTGTCATCGTCGATGAACGAGCGGCCGGTTGTCGTTTCTGACGCTGAGAGTCAACATGACGATGCTCGGCAACATGCTGAAGGACTAGATGGACAGTGGAATGTCCCTCTGTTTATCCAGGACAGTCTTGAGCAGCCATATCGCATGGTTCACTGGCCATGCACATACGAAGCTGCCGCAGAAGCTGTCACAAAGTCGGCGCCTGTCAAGGTCCTACTCTATCGACACGTCTCGTATCTGCAAAACATTCTCCGAAAGGGAGGCAGGGGAGAAAAGGTCGAGTCGATCATCCGCAACTCGATATCCGTCTTCAGGTACTGGAACCTCACACACGGGGCCTTCTTCAAGGAGCTACTCCACGACTACGAAGCTGTACCAGGACGTATCCAGAGTTGGTTTGTCTGCATATCATGTCACTGGCATTTGGCTGCTCTTATGCTAGCGGACCTGATCGAGTACGTGGATGAGAATGAGCTGGGCGTTGCTTCTGTATCTTATGGCCGTCTTGGAAGCAAGATGGTTTCAAAGATACGAGAAGCCAGCACAAGAGAGCTATCAGACCTAGCAAAAGTCTCAACCCCAGACAGAGGCACAACAGGAATGATATCACCCTCGCTGTCACACTTCCACGACGCCGTAAACGAAGCCACCATCCTCACCGAACCATGGACCATCATCCTCATCCGCGCCTTCTCCAAGGCAGCAGTCCTCCTCATCAGCGAAGCCAACGACTTTCTCGAGTTTGGACTCACGACGAGGGGGAGCTTCCAGGAGAGTCTAGCGAGAGCGGATGAGTGCACAAAGGGGTTGTGGCTGCTGGGTAAGAAGTCTGATATGGCGAGGAGCGTGGCGGATAGGTTGTCTTTGGCGATTCAGAAGCTAAAGGTGTAATTCTATTGGAGTTTGGGATTGTAATATGATCAAGGCAATAATGATCTTTGTTTTGCATGGGCGGTTGGGGTTCTTGATGTGGTGTTAGCTAAATCAAGACTGGTTGTTGTTTGGGTCATTTGGAGTTGTTGGATTTTTGAAGCGAATTTGATGTTATATTACAAAGACCTGGGGGCCTCAGATACGAATGCTTGACTCCTACTAAGACTGTCTTCTAAAAACAACAATTAATCATTTACTGCGAAGCCTGAATATGATATGATTACTGTATTCACGTCTTACTAGTGTGCATCTGTTCAAGGCCTGGTGGTTGTGGAGATGACTTCTCAACTACAGGCCGCCTCAACCCTTTCCATCACGACACGTCAACCTTGCAAAAGTTACAAACATCAAAAAGATTGGTTTTTAGGTGGATGGTTTTGTTTTTTATATAGCGCCTGGTCAGAGGTGGATTTAGGTTTTGCGGATTAGAGAGAGTGGTTTTTGTCTTTTAGGAGCGGATTTTAAGGAGATTTTTACCACTTGACCAGGCGCTGAGCACTTTGTGCTTTTAGGATGGGAGAGTAAAGGGTAACCTTGCATATATGGGTATTGGGAGAGTCTGTAGGGGTTCAAAAAGGCAAAAAGGTAGCCCTTTTTGGGGGACGCCCGGTCAGGTGATGGTTTTTTTATTAGGTTTGCGGATTTTAAGAGAGGTTTTAGGTTTATTTTTTGGAGGTTGTTTGAGAGTGTTAACCACCTGACCAGGCGTCGTGTGTTTTTGTGTTTTGAGATGGGAGAGTAAAAAGTAAACTTGCTTATATGGCTATTGAGAGAGCCTGGAGGGGCTCAATCTTCTGGCTCAGTTATCCCATCGAGCGGTATTGGGTTTTGATACCATCATGACTGTGTCTTTTGCTATCGTGGCTGATAGCTTCTTGTTACCATTGCAGATAATAATCCCGTCGAGTGCTGGGCTTCAGCTATAACAAAGAACACATCATTAACACATCATAGCACCGTATCCCAACCAACACAGTGAACCTATAGGGGTTTAAAAAGATAAAAAAGCAAGGCCCCTTTTGGGTGACGCCCGGTCAGGCGATGGTTTAAGTTTGCGGATTTTAAGAGGATTTTTAGGTTTGTTTTTGGAGATTGTTTAAGAGGATTAACCGCCTGACCAGGCGTCGGGTGTTTTGTTGTTGTTGTTTTTGGATGGGATAGAAAGGAGGAACCTTTATTATATGGCTTTCCCTTCAGCTGGCAAGGACCTCAAACCGGGTCACCACGGGGGCGTCAAGTCAATCAGATTTATGCAAAAGAGAGATACTTCAACTATCACTAACCCCTACCTGAGAAACAAGCGTCTAGACCACAGTTCCCTCATAGGTGAGGTTATACTTATGGCATTCTCTAGTTACCTTAATATTACTAGGGCAAGGTACGGAATGGAGGTGCTTACCAGCTGGGATAAAAAGAGTCTATAGGGGTCTAAAATGACAAAAAGAGAGATCCCTTTTGGGTGACGCCCGGCCAGGTGATTTATTAAGTTTGCGGATTTGGGTTTTTTTTAGGAGGTAAGAAAGAGTTAACCACCTGACCAGGCGTCGAGTGTTTTGTGTTTTTTTTTGTGTAGTAGAGTAAAGGCTGAACCTCCTTATAAGTCTAGTTTTGCACGTCATTGTTACTTAGAGATTCCAAGGTCAGCAACAATAGTGACATATGCTACGTTAAGTATTGCTAAAATACATGACTTCATCGCCTGCCTCCCACTTTTTTATATGAAACAATGGCTGCTTCATGTCAGACTCCATTCCCTAATACCGATCAGCAGCGGAAATATTATAGTGTAGTACAGCTTTAAGGCCTGCCACGGTTCGTGACTCCACTGATAGCACCGGTGTCCCTGAAAGGGCGTGAGCTACGAGACTGGTGTATTCTAGACCATTAAAATACATGCCACCTAACGAGCTCTGGACGCCATGGGCTTAGGGAGAGTTAGATATTCGTATTGTCTATGAGTTTGATTGCCTTCTAGGAGCTATCATCCTAGGGGCCACTAATCTCCATTACTATTATTCGAATAGATACACAACAGGAAGGAACTGCCGGATTAGTCGACGGCCATTGGGGCCAGTGACGACCACGTCGGTTGACTTTCCACGTTCGCAGCGGAACAGTGGCACAATAGGCATTCAGCAAAGAGGCTAGGCGGCAACTCGGTCGCCCGGGCGGAACTCCAAGACGCCATCACCGACGCTCTCGACGTAGCCGGCTATGTCCTCCCCGTGGTTAAGTGGCGGGGTAAAGTAGCTGGCCTTCTAGTCCTTATGGTTGGCGGCATAGGCGATAACACGGATGAGGACCTAGCTGGCTTGCGGGATAGGGATTAGGGAGTCAATGATCTCGACCTTTGGTCCTGGAATTTGTCAACCCTTGACATGCGGCGGTCAGAGGGCTTCACCCTTGGAAACAAGTGCTTCTTTCATTTTGGTTAGAAAATAGAGAAATCAATGGTTTTGTTTATCTGGCTGCGATATCGGACGGGTGTATAACTCTGCTTTGATATCTGTAAAGACTGTTGGGGTTAGCTATTTGGCTATCTTTATGCTGAAAGCTCTCCTCTTCTACAGAGTTTGGATTTATCTTGCGCAAAGGTACATGGTAAAGCAGAGATGTGGTGGAGGTGAGCCTGGGCCGACCGTATTGCGCTTCGTAACCTTTGGCACGGACACCAAGCCAACCCCGAACCGAAGAGTCATTAGTCAGGGGCGGAGTTTTACAGACACACGAGCGGAGTTTCACAAATAATACAGACATCCGAGCGGAGTTGACATTGAGCTAGGGACTATCAAAGATGTTAATTGGCAAAGGTTAAGTGTGTCTCTGGTTTCGCTCCGCCGTCCGGAGGCCGTGGGGAGATATATGTAAGCCATGTCGACGACGGACTTGTTCCATCGAGCATCAATCCCCCCGAAAGTCCTCCTGTCTCTTCCGAACGCCAGTTTTAACCAAATATGACAACTCCTTCGACTCAGCGGGCGGTCGTGCTCGAGGAGTTTGGTAAACCAGTATCCGTCGTCAACAGGCCCATCCCAGAGGCCATCCCAGGCAGCGTCGTTGTCAAAGTCTACGCAGCGCCGCTTGCTCGCTATCTGCGGACCTTCTACGATGGAACAATCCCCGCACCGAGGCTCAACCCTCCGTTCGTCCCCAACCCTGGCGCCCTGGGCCGCATCTACAAGGTTGGCAGCGGCGCCGTCAAGCTCAACGTGGGAGACCTGGTGTACGTCAGTACGGCCCTTGTCGGCCGCGATGACCCAAACACCTTCATCCTGATGGGCCACATCAAGGGCAACCCCGGGCCGAACACCGACAGGCTGGCCGAGGGTGACTTCCGCGATGGCTCGTTCCAGCAGTACCAGCGAGCGCCCCTCGAAAACGTCTTTCCGATCAACGAGCGCCGCATCAAGGAGCTGGGTATCGACCCCATCAACTTGGTGTCCATCTCGGGCTTGTCTGTAGCGGCTGGGGCAGTATTTGAGGCGGGCGATGTCAAGGTCTCGGACACGGTCATCATCGGCCCATCTGGCGGCACGTATGGAGGCAACGCCGTTGAGTTGACTCTCGCGGTGGGTGCCAATGTCATCGCCCTGGGACGAGACGAGGAGAAGTTGGCCGAGTTGAAAAACAGGCTCAAGAGCCCCCAGCTCAGCACTGTTGTCATGACTGGTGACGTGGATGCCGATGCTGCAAACATCATCGCTGCCACGCCGGGAGGCGAAGGAGCCGACGTCTACAACGACTGGGCCCCCGGCGGTGTCCCGAGTGCGCCGTACCTGCCCGCTGCTGAGCGTGCGCTCAAACGGGGTGGACGCATCGTCCTGAGCGGCGGCGCCTATGGCCACATCGAAGTTGGGTACATTTCGATGATTCTGAAGAAGCTTAGGGTTGGGGGTTCGTGGATGTGCAACCGTCAGTCTATGGAGCGCATTGTTCGGATGATTGAGGACGGGAGGATCAATCTGGGGCCAGACAGTGGCATCCAAATCAAGAGTTTTGGGTTGGATGAGGTGCATGACGCTGTGGATCATACCGAGAAGGCGACTCGCTGGAGAAACATCACCATTGTTGCTCCGAATGCATTTGATGGCTAGGGGGTTGTTGGATCCTGAGCTATGTAGTTTGAACGAGTGCCTTGTCCTTGCCCGTCTGTTTCGTACGGCAATTTAGTTTGATGTACTCTCAATAATAGAGAGCCTCCCCTCGCTCCGGCGACCGATGCGCTTCATGTGTTTCCGGACTGTGTGCTGAGCTTCAAGACAGGTTGATCGACACGCTGCAACATCTTGGGCAGTGCGTGTCTGCAGGGGTCCGTCGGAAGGCCTTGTCTAGCAGGAGTGCCGAGCGCGGCCGACCGTTCTTCGCCGCCGGTCTGTGGACGGAACGAGTTACAGCATGGCATAACCTCCCATTCTCCTGCCTCAACTCCATGCAGCCGACCAGAGTGCTGATGAGAGCTGTAGTTAGGCTTGGGATTTTCCCTTGGTTCATCAAGGTGTGGAATTACTGGATGGAGTCTTGTGTCACAAGGTATATAACTGTTGAAAGGTATCTTTCAATTTTTACCGGTACAGCAATTGCGATATCTTGTCTTGGTTTGCCGACTGCCCTCCTTAGGTGACTCTGAGCGGGTGAGTTACGTACCCAATGAGCTAATTATGATCCAGGATGAAATGCCCTCTGATCTCTCGTTGACGTCGAGGAGGCTGAAATGGTTCTCGTGCTGGCAAAGCGGGAAGAAGCATACATAGGACTCCTCCGCTTCCGTATGCTGATGCCATTCCGAGATTTTGTTCGCAGCCGTCTCAAATGGGCGGGCCATTAACTGCTGGGGATCCTTCTGTTGATGGATGGGCACGCAAAATCCGACGCGGATATATCCCAACTTATCGGATAGATGTAAACACGCAAGGATGAGGCTGTCATTGAACCACCTCCTCGACTTGAGTCTCTCCAGTGATTTTGCATCAAATCGAAAGTCAGAGCCATCCAGGAGGAGTATGTTATTCGACGATTTAGAGACCTCTGCGACGAATGCATTGAGCTCGTCGTTTGCGGTGGACAGAGACCCGCCGGGATCAGAGAAGCCCGCACTAACGAGCTGGTTAAGGAAGTCATACTGGTTGGGCCCCCCTGTGTCCAGCACGAACGTAACCTGCTCCGTGAGAAAGCCCAACACGGCTATCTTCTCCAGCTGCTGAGGTAGCTCCTCGATGAGTGAGTTCAACGTGGAATCGCTTGACTTTCCAAGATGGGACGGTATAACCTCAAAGCTAGCTTCTGGTATCTGTAGAAAGCAGAAGATCAGGCTATTGGAGAACAGGATGGGAGGCTGGACGTCTAGTCCTCCCTTATTATTACCACCTGTCCCTATGTCTTAATCCCCTACTCCGCCGGGAAACGCGAGCCTCTCTGCGGTTAAGATAGGAGAAAAAGGGCTACTTATATCGCGACTTATAATACTATAGTAGAAGCTAAAGAGAGATACCTAGAAGCTAAGACTAATAAGTGCCTAGCTATAAATAAGTCGCTATTTATTAACCTCGCCGAGGCCTATATCTATAAATATTATAAAAAGTTACTAAGTATTATTTAATTATTATTATCTTAGTTATTATCTAAGCAGAGGGAATCGGCTCCCCGGATTTGCGATGGTGGGTAAGGCTATGTTTTATACACCCTCTGACAAACTCGATTCAAGATAGCCCCCGCGGGTTCCGTGGGATTCAACAGAGATTGACTTTTCCAGGTCAAGGAATGAGATAGGAGGTCTGGGGAAGATTATGCCAAGGAAGGATGCTCGAGCCGCCGTGAGCCGAGACGTTGGCTTAAGCCGGGATACGGCAATGGCTTACCGGGAGGGAAGCTCGAAGCGCCGAGGCTGTTGACTCGCGAATAGGTTCACCATTATCCCTAAGAGCTCCTAGAAATTGTCAATTATCACTTTCAAACGAAAATAAGTATAAAGGGGAGCAGGTCTCTATTGGAAATCGTTGATATTGTCTTGCTGCCAGACACGCCCCGGCGACTCCGATCGCTGACCAGGGGTAGTTCACGACCACGACCTAACAAGACTGCTGGACAAACATGATGGTGGTATGACTCGAGACAACCAAAAAAGATTCTAGGTCTCTATCGATCGGACTGCAGGCGAATACCTCTGAGCTTTGGCCAGACTTGTTATCGTCGAGTACGGGGACAGACGATCATCGGGCCGGCTTCGTTTCCCCGTGAGTGTCACTACCTAGACCCAGCGCTTCGGGCTTGAGACTCCGCAGCTGCCTCTTCACCCAGCAGCCGCCGTGGCATCATCGAGGTGGAGAGACAGAGTGTGACTTCTCACACTCCACGAAGGTGATGTCCTGATTGCGTGTGGTGTTGATGTCCGCCCCTTGATCATTGCCACTTCCAGCCGACCCAGAGACGCCCAGTCTAGACCCAGTCCAAATTACGCAACAGATTGAGGATTCTAGATGCCATTGGTCATGGCAAGGCCCCAGCACAGCTCAGTCGAGAAGGCTTCAGGTCGGAATATCGGATATCGAGCGAGTTAGTAGGCTTGAGTAGGATTACCCCCGTCATCTCCCCATAACCCCGCTGGAACTCTTAGTTCAAGGGTTTGCCCTGAAGGCCTTTTCGCCATCACTAGGATCGGGGATCTCTCCTGTTGGTCGATGAGGTTATCTGAGTGTCCATGACAGCGTTCAGTTACCAACGCCAGCCCCATCTGGGGATGATACTTTGCGTCAGCGCACTATCATGTATCACTGGATAGATACCTGGCGGTTACGCAACAAAAACAACCTCTTGAGGTAACTCCGGGAGAGAAAAGCAGATAATCAGTGGCGGGGAGCGTGATTAGCGAGTGGGATCAGTGGATTACTAACAATATCTCCTTCAGACAAGAAAGCCATCTTGGCCCCAACCTGTAATGAGGTGGCCAGCCGCATTGAGGTGGCAAATATTTGAAAAGTCTGTTATGCTAGAAGGAATGAAACTAGTTAGTGGCACGTTATTGTTCTTCCGGGGGGACCATGGGGCTCGTAGTCTGCCGATTGTTAGGACACAAATGGGCAGCTATGAAGCTTATGTCAAGCCGAGACAATGCTTTGGAATCGTGAAGTCTTTTTTGAGCTTGGATCTGAACGATAAGTCCGATATGAGGCTGTTGGCGAGTGCAGAGGCCAGGGGTTCGCGGGGTGGGAGGGATCTATCAGCTCAAAAATGCTGTAAAGGCTACATCATCATGTCATGAATTAACGCAACAATACGGAGTTTTTATGTCTTTAGTGCCATATTGCCGGAGTGTGTAAAACTTGGACTATTGTAATGCCTCCATGGGTGTCAAATCCAACGATCAAGGACCGTAGTTGGGATATTACATCATGTCAGCCGTTGCTCAGTACCATTTCAAAGAGATTGGCTCATGTGACCTCAAAAATAGATGAAAAAACAAGGTTCAACAAAAATAGTTCTATTTCCTGGATGACGAAGGCTCTTGCAGGGGATGTTCCAACCAGGATGAAGTTCTATGTACAACGCTCGATCCCCAGCTTCCATGCTAGCAACCAATCATCTCAAATCCAAATGCATCAACTAAGCTACGTTGCAGGAAAAGGGTCTTCCAACGTCTCCCTTGTCGAACTTGGCAACCTAGACTATTGTTAACTTTAGTGGCTTATGTTGGGTAGATAAACTCACGATCTGGTCGAAGCTGGAGTAAGTGCCAGCAATAAAGATAAAAAATCCCACAACAAAAACAATCAAGTTGGGGATGGCTCGCTTGAGGTTGTGCCTATCATACCAGTTGCCCTCCTTGAGGAGACGGAACCAAAGGATAGGAGGGATCCAGAAGGAAAAGCCGGAAATGAAGAGGGAGGCGCAGATGGAAAGAAGCTCCGAGAAGAAGGGAATAGCCTCAGCAATGATCCAAGACAGGATAGTGATGAACGAAACGACTGCAATCCAGGAGATCCAACCCTTGGGAGTGTTGATGTATCGCGTAATCGAGTCTTTATACATTCTTCCGTGGATGAAGCGACATGCAACCGTAGCGTTGATCGAGCCCGAGATGTAAATAACAGGCAGGGCAATACCGAAAGCGATCTTGGACACCAGAGGGCTTGCGGACAGCAAAGCTGGAGACTGCACGCTCTGACCAACGAAGGCGTAGATGACTGCGCCAGTGATGGTATAGAGGACGATTTCGGTGCATCCGAGAGTAACGATGGACTTGGTAAAATCGGCCGGAGTATGCATTTCACCTGTTGAAGACTGCGTAAGTAAGAATATTACTATTGGCTCGAGTATATGGAACTTACTCATGAAACTGAACTGAGCAGCTGCAAAGGCATACGAAAAGACAATGTTTGAGATGGCGACCATAGCCTGAGTGAAGGACAGGTCGTCCTGGGGCCATGCAGACCAATCAGACGAAGACATGCCTCCAGGAGTCTCCGATCTCTGAACGCCAGTGGCGATGATAGTGATGCCAATGGCAATGATGATGGAGGCAAAGTCGACATATCCCAGGATAGCAATCTCGGTGAAACTGGGAGGAATAGCCAGAACCAAGAGAATAATGGCAGAGATGGCGCCAAACACCAGAGAGCAGACATTGGTCGCCCCGGTGATCTTGACGAAAGCAATCGTGCCCGTGAGACAATGGGAGCCAGTGGCGAGAACCATCAGGCCCACAAAGATGACTGCAAAGATCTTGTCGCCAAAGCTTCCGAATAAGAGCCGACCAGCATCGACATAGTGATCGATGTGAGGGTACTTGAGCTTGGTAAGACCGACCATGTAACTGGCATACATGGCAATGAGGCCTACTCCAACACAGGCAATGGTTCCGGGGACCATGCCGAGGGTGGCAAAGGCTCCTGGGAGACTCAAACTGCCGAGGGCAATGGCCTGGACAATGAGGACGACAGTCAATCTCTTCCAACCAAGGCGGTGGAAGTGGGCATCGCCCTGGATGGTCTTTTCCTTCTCAAGATCGGTCTGAAGGTATTGGCTTGGGACCTCATCGAACGAAGGCTGTCGCTGGATCTCATCGCCAGTCTTTTCGGCCCTGGAGATCTGGTCTTGGCCCATGATTGCGACTGCCTGATGTCTTTGGGAGCAATGGGGAGAAGGTCTAGAAGGATTGAAGAAGCAAAGAAGGGGGATGAAGATGGAGAAGAAGAACTAAAACTCCACGGGGAACGAGCAAAGTTATATCTCGAACCAGCCAAGGACCAGTTCCCCATGGGGACCGGGGTGTCTCCATGGAGCTTACCTATGGGGAACAGTCACCCCAAGCATGGATGAGGTTCTTCTGGGGTGATAGGGGTTAGTCGGAGTTCCGGAGAGAACGAGACATATTGTTTCGAGAACATCACGCTTTGACAAACAAGAGTGTGGGCATGGTTGGCCGAGGTTCCTTGTCCCGGTAACCATAGTGGATTATGGCCCAACCGAGCGTGGAGGAGCCCGGCCAAGGCGATGGGGTTTAAGCCTGTGTTTACCGATTGCTGGAGTTTTTGGCGAGTCAGAAGCGCTAAGTGGGCTTTTTGTGCTGGTAGGGCGTGGTGACAGGTGGTGATGTTTTGGGAAAAGGTTTGGACGGTGACATGCCAGTAGCTCAAGTCTATACTGTATCATGTTGACTATAACGGTTCATGTATGTTGTCCATGTATTTCTTCTTGCAACGGCCTGACATGCAGCTAATATCAACGACGAACGCATCCTCCAACTCCAATTTCCTCGTGCGGAGAGACAGGCTCCGTCACATCCCCCGTCACCAACAGCATATCGAGCGGGGAAGAGGTTGGGGTCACTTGGGGTTTCAGTGACAAACCGATGATGGAGTGAGAAAACACGCCCTGGCGCAGTTTATACGATTCCCACTCATAACTGGGATCTGTATGGTAGGACGTGGGCCGCATGATGACCAGCTGCCGAGGAAAGGATTTCAAAGTGGAGAACTCGCCTGGGAAGGAAGGTGGGAATTGAACTGGGAGGGAAGTTCGAAGCGGTTTATGCGCGTGTGGTGCATGTTGGGAAGAATGACTCGCTCTTTCGAGGCTTTGAGATCCGAGGTTATCGTGTGATTTGTTTTATCAGTTTGGGCATAATGTGGCTTTTCAATCTCTTTGGATATCTTGATCCTTGATTCACTCTCTTTTCTATTACTGAGTGTATCATCACATCAACAATGTCAACCACCTTGTTCGTCAATGGTCGCATCTTGACCAGTGCTGGGACAGGCCTCAATGGCACGGCCCAGTTCTCGGACTGCATGCTTGTACGAGGGGATAAGATCGCCGCCGTCGGAACCCGAGAGGAGATTGGACATGTCCAAGACGCAGAGGTTCGCGATCTTGAGAAGAAGATTGTGCTTCCTAGCTTCATCGATGGACACATGCATCTTTTGCTACTTGGCCAATCCTTACGAAAAGTCGATCTGAGTCATTGCAAGACCCTCGACGATATTCGATCCGTTATTCGAGATTATGCTGTCGCAAACCCTGATACCCCGACTATTCTGTGCAAAGGATGGAGGAATTGGATGACTCCTGATGGTGTAACGGCCGCGATGCTTGACGATATCGATCCGAGACCTATATTTATCGACGCTGGCTCTCTTCACTCGTGCTGGTGCAATACCTCTGCTCTTAAGCAGCTCAACGTGGCGGATATGCCTGATCCGGCTGGAGGCAAGATTCACCGGGATGCTGATGGAAAGCCTTCTGGTCTCTTAGATGAAGGTGCCATGATGTCCATCATCTGGCCCTTCCAAGCTAGTTCGTCTCCCAAGGAAGAGCGCATTGAAGCTATCCGCGCGGCTGTGCAAGAGTACAATGCTGCAGGTTATACTGGAGCCGTGGAAATGGCCATGGATGAAGATGCCTGGGATGCCCTTA